TGTGTGGTGCTTGGACATGAGTCTAAGCACCATCTTTTCTGTGAGTACATGCCTTGGCACTGTTCTGTAATCTCAAATTGAAATTTAGGACTCATTGCAAATGCTGTTTTACCTTTCTATCACAAGTAACACGAGTTTCATTAGCCATAGAGTAGTTGTGGACAGTTTTCATTAGCAAGTATTTTGTGCTGGAGGTTGAAAATACTAAAAACCATTGACAGTGAGGTTTGTGGATTGTCTTAAGCAACCTAAATTCCAGTCACTATTGCGTCAGGATTATAGCAGATTTTTCCGAGGAAATTTTTTTATTATTTTTTATGATTTGTGTGAACTCACCCTTAAATATTTGCATTTATACTGGTAGCTAAACAGTTTCTGTGTGTGCGTGTGGTTGCGTTTGTCAGTTTTGCAATATGTATTGTTATGATTAGCATAATGCTCCCTGTGTTCTTTATGCCCAAAGGGCTATCACAAGTTTATGTCTTGTGTTTCACTACTGGCTTTTTTAAAATAATTTGTCCCTCATCCCTGTCACTTATCTTTTCCTTCCCCTCTCTTTCCTCAGCAGCCATGTCCACGCATGTTTTATTGCCCTTCATCTGTCTTTGTCACTAGCATCCCGTCTTTCATCGTTTCCATATTTTCCAATCTGGAAGAAAACACATGCCCATTTCAGCTTCTATGTGTTGCCTTTAAAATACATTTTAACAAGATTTTATTCTGTAAGGGTTTAAACTAATTAGCTACAACCTATATTTATAAACTCTCACCCATATGTACAAGTGCTTAGCTTTAAGGTCACCAGAATCATTCACTCCCAAAAGTTTAAAGTAGCCTCCAATTGCTGTAAGGGCTGCTAAACTGAGAGGGTAACTCCAGGTTGGGACTCCACACAGAGTCATTTAGATAACAAAACACTAATCAATTATCAAAATAGTTTTTGATAAATTTTCTGGTGACTAAATAATTTATTATTTTATTCTGAATTGTTCCACTAATATATATTTATTGTATTTTATTATTTATTTATTTATTTCACTTTTTATTTACTAATCATGGTTTATATTAAATACTGTGACTGTCCAAACACTTTGTAACTACTTTAAGAAAAGTAGTATTTAAATTAAATTACTATTACTATTTCTAAACCCAGTAACCTTACTCTTTCTCAAATTATTGTTTTAAAATATAGCATAACAGCATCAGGAAAGATCTCTGTCAGGATACACACGTTACATTTTTTCATTTAGCTGATGCTTTTATTCAAAGCGACTTACAATTGCAATTTATGTCAGAGGTCGCGCAGAGCAACTACGGGTTAAGCGTCTTGCTCAGGGACACATTGGTGGACGTGTCACAGTGGGGAGTTGAACCTGGGTCTTTCTCACTTAAGGTATGCGTTTTATCCACTGCACCATCACCACCACCACACGTTTGAATTGCGTCTTTACATCTCTATTGTATGTAGGCCAGTGTTGCACTGATTATATCTTGGTGCCTTCTAGCTTCCCTCTACATCTTAAATCATGTCGAGTAAAACAAATGTAAAAGCCTGCTGCATCAGCTCTGTTTGTAAAAGATCCCATCACATTGCATTATGGGAGACTTCCTCACACTCTGTCTATCAGTCTATCAGTCAATCAGCCACTGTCTCCCACTCCCAGTGTAAGATGAGAAGCCTTTCTGTGCTGCCAGCCATTCAGCTGTCACCAGGACCTATCATAACAAATCCGCCCGTTCCTTCAAAGGCTTCTGATTGACAATTTGTCAGGAAGGTTCGGGTGTTTGTTGAGTCTACTAAGAGTGAATTAGGCGTAACTTTGGATTATCTGTATCTACTTTTTCTTTTGTTTTTTTTTACTTTGTCCCTGTCTAAGAAATTCAGTTCAGTTCCGCATCACAAACAGTACGTCGCATACAGTTTTGTAACAGTGTAATTAGTGTCTCCAGTCTCTGTTTGTCATCACTACCGTGCTGGGAAAGGTATTCTGTCAAATCAGTCTGGGGTGCATGCAGTGACCCAGGCCTAAACCTTCTCCCAGGCCCACCCTGGGGCCCCTACAGGTAAATTAAACCCCCTATTCGCTGTTTCCCTGGTGGTCCTTCTTTGTCCTCTCTCATCTGCCCGTTGCATCCCTCCTGCCTCCCCAACGAATCTGTGGTGTGAGAGAAAGAGAAAAGGTGTTTGATGTACAGCACTAAGATGTAAAGCACATGACTGAATTGTTTGCCATAGCAGTTAACCGGTGTTACATCCAGACACAGCATTTGTAAAGCAGACAGCATAATTTCTTATTACTAGTATAATAATAAATAGATAAATACATTCTAGGGCTGCAACTAAAAATGATTTCCATTGTTGATTAATCTGAAGAATATTCGTTTGATTAATCAGTAAATTGGTTTTAGCTATTTCTATAGATTGTTAGAAAATAGTGAAAAATGTCCTGTACAATTCCCCTAACCCCAAGTTGACTTATTCAAATGGGTTGTTTTGTCCAACCAAAATCCAGTTTAATATACATAATCTAAAGATACAAGCAAATTCATAATTTTAATCATTGGTCATCATCATGACCAATGAATATTTGATTTGCAAAATTGTTGCAGATTAATTTGATGTCAACTGACTAATTGACTTACCAACAGAGTTTCAGCTCTGAAGAATTCCCTTTTCAGTTTTTATTTATAGGCTGCATGGTGCAGTCTTGATAGATGTGAAATTTGTCCTGTAGATTAAATGGAAATAGTCAAGGAACTGAACAACACTGAACCCTCAATTATGAAAGAACACCTACTAACAACCTTTTACACATTCGAAAACTGTACTTGGAGCAGGGTTATGTGTTCATGCATAAACATATTGTGCGCCTTTGGCTGTCAGTTCCTTACTGCTGCTGTCATTGTGTAGCAACAGTTTACTCGCGACTACATGGCGATGAAAAGGCTGGTCCCAGAAACTTAAAAAAACCCCAAACTTTTTAAAATCAAGACTTGGTTGTAGTGTAAGGGTTGGAATTGTTGTTTGTTAATGACAAAGTTTTAGCAGGTAGATTTGAGGATTAAGATTAGGGAATTAAGGTAGCCAATGGAGAGTTATCATTAGGAAAGCAGGAAGAGTTTGTATGTGTGTATGTGTAACCATAAACAGAGTGAACATCATTTCATGGCCAGGAGGTCAGCACTCCACATACACACTGTCCTAATACAGCAGCGAACTTTGTGCCCATTGTGCTGCTGTAATGGTGTGGAACAAAGTGATGAGTAGACTGTTAGCTCCGCTGGTGGATCAGCTCTCCATGCTTCATTACCTGTTTGTGTATGTGTGTGTGTGTGTGTGTGTTTGCGCTGCACCTTGTTGTTTTTGGTTCACTCATATGCTTTCAGCACTAGCAGTGGAGAGTGAAATTGTCTATGTCACCAGATTAAGGCCACCAAAGGTAACCACTTAATGGATGCTTACTTTTCCCTAACTAATGTCAGAAATCAGCTTCATTGAAGAATAGATATTTTGATGTATTTGCGCTGTGAGCCCACTGATCCCCCCTCTGAGGGGTTGAATGCGTTTGCACTGAGCATGAAGGGCGGTCGCGCTGATTAATGTTGGTTAGTCACTGCGATTAGGATGAGAGTCATAACTTGATGGAGATGTCAATTGTAATAAGAGTCATCATCCATAAATGAGCTGAAATTGGAATTGATAATGGTTTAATAACAGTGACTTTACATTGAGCGCGTGATCATGGGATTGCATGTGTGTCATCTTTTGTTTGTGTCTTCATTCTCTGGGTTAATCTCTGACCCGCTGTGCCTCTGTCGCTACTGGAAATTCACTTTTTTTTTACAGAGCTTCTGTGTCCTGCTTACGCTCGTGTCCTCTGTATCCTCCTCTCCTGTCTCCTCTCCTGTCCTCTCTCTCTGGCATCCTGCCACCGATGATGACGCAGGGAGAGCAGAAGAGAGCAGGAGGGGGAGAGGGGAGAGAGACTCTGACATAATAGCATTGATTTTAGAGTAGGAAATATATTGGTAAATACATAAAATAGATGGCAGGACATTAAAAGATGAGTGCTTTGTTTTTGTTAAGATAGTTAATGTTGTTTGAAAGAGAAATTACTATTTCAGATTGAGATATGATAGCAAAGAGGTTGCAAAAACCAACTGCAGATGTGTTTTGTTTAGCTACTGTAGATGGGGAAAAATAAATGGTGCTGCCTCAAACTGCCTGTGTGTTGTTACAGAAAAGCTAAAGCAAGAGAATAGTTTGCCTCTCTTCTCAGCTCACCTTGGACTACTGAAGCCCCCTCTTTGTGGATATGAGACATCAAAACTGCATGTGTTTTCCTGTGTCCCTGAGTGTGAGCAATAGGGCCAGAACAGTACGAGGACTTGTTAGGGCAGATACAAAGTCCTCACTTGATGACTGACCCTCTGACCTAAGAGGAAAGTGTGTGGGTGAGGCGGCTAGAGATCAGTAGGGAGTGAGAAAGACACTAGTGGCATGGTACAGACCAGTGTCTGGTACACACAATGAAAGTAGTCTATGGGATAACGATGTATCCCTATGGGAATGTTGGGAGCCATTCTCCGGTGGAAAACACACAGACACGGCATTTGGTCAGAACAGAAGTCTGTATTGAGGTGAGCAACGTTTTCCCTTCTGCAAACTGAATCACTGTAGATGTGAGAGAGAGTGAGAGAGAGAGAAGGAGAGAGAGAGATCTGTCAACAGGCGTCAGGACTGGTGTGTGTGTGTGTGTGTGTGTGTGTGTGTTATGTGTGTGTGTGTGAGAATGTAGGTGTGTGAGCCACCAACTATTCAGAAAGCTCACAGTACCCAGTTGTCATAGTGACAGGGAGGGGAAGGGAGAGGAGCCCGCTCATTGCGCCACCTGATTGTGAGTGTGTTCGCAAGAGAAAGGGGGGGGGGGGGGCTGGAAAGCAGAGACAGAGAGTTGCGCAGGAGCGATGGAGAGACAGGCTTTTGCTGTGATCAGTGTTTTCATCAGTGGTCTTGTTCTTTAGCTGCTGTGTCGTGGGGATTGCAGACATTTTGCCACTCGCACTCTCTCTGACACACACGAACTTGGATTCTCCGCTCACCCATTGCACGCACGCGCACTCACACAACAATACGTACACACAGCGGTGGCTGTGCTAGTATGGCGATATGGAGATGCTGCTGCGGTGTGACATGTGTGTCAGGTGTGTATGAGATGGGAATCCACATGTGTTGATTCCCATGCACACTTGGGCACACTAACACTTTGACTTGATGCCCGGTGCCTCTGACAGCAAGCTGAGGGACACACAGCCGGCCTGGCCAGGGGCCGTCCATGCCATGGTAAATACCTCTGCTAACAAACTTAGCCTGTAGTTAGCCTCCTGTAGCTAGCGTGCAAGGTCTCATAGAGGCATGAGCAAAAAGGATACAAGACTGTGTTTGTTGTTGAAGCCTGTGAAGTTTTGTTGCAAGGCAAAGATGCAAGCGACTGCCTAGTTTTAGTAAGCGTGTGAGTGCAAGTGACCATTAGTGACTGTTCTAGACAGCAGCATGTTAATAGTGTTTGCTGGAGTGAGTTGTATTAGCGTTATGTTGTTTTGGCTTTGCTTTCGCTGTCTTTAAAGAATATAGTGTATTACCTGATTGCAGAAGTTGTCACCTTCGTTAAGCTGAAGCGTGTGAGCTCTCCCCTCCCCCCTGCAGTCTTCCTGTGCATGTGTGATTTTGTGTGTATGTATTGATGCTGCTCTCTGGCTCTCCTCTCCTCTTCTGCTCCTGCTGGCTGTGTTCCCTCAGGCAGTGACTCTGCGTAAGCAAGAAGTGTGTGTATGTGTGATTTGCATTATCGCGTTGTTTTACACAGACAGTGTGCAAGCTGCTGAATGCCTTCTCGATCATTAAAGCACTGCTGGATCACTGTCCCCGTCTTCATTACAAGCTGTTGGCATGATCGAAACAGATAGTTGAGATAGAATGTGCAGAGAGGTCCTGAGTTGTGAGGTCTGGATTTGACATTTCGGTTTGTCTCAGTTTTCAGGTAATATGACAGTCTCCTCACAGTCTCCACCTCTATCACTCTCTCTTTCTCTCTCTCTCTTTGCAATCCCTCCGTCACAGGCTCTCTCTCTCCTCCTCTCTGTCTCTTTCTGTCCCTCCCTGTCAGTATATAAACAGAGAGAAGTGGCAGCAAGTTCTGCCCCTGCTCAAAGGATTCAGTGATCACTCTGCTCCTGGTCTTATTTTTTACTTCTCCCCTCTCCAGTTTTGCAGTGAAAAAAAAAAGTTGCCTCACAACATTTCATAGAAAATGGCGGGACTTGAATAATACAGTGCACTCGAAAATTTAGAGGTGGTATGAACTGGCATGATGGTGCGAACAAGCATTTTCACTAATTGATTGCTCTCCTTCAGTAATTGTTTAACACAACTAAAAGAAATTAGTGACTTGAATCATAAATTAATAAAACCTCAGGAAATATTGTATTCATACATTTAAATGATCATAAATGTCAATGTCAAAAAAACAGCTAATGATTACTTACTATATATATATATATATGTTTTGGTCTATAAAAATGTCAGAAATAATAATAATCAAGAAAAAGGCCCATCACAATTTGCTAAAGGTGCCAAGGTGATATCTTGAAATTGCTTGTTTTGTTCGACCAAAAGTCCACAGACAAAGAAGAAGAGAAAGAAATCTTTTTAGAGGATTGAACCAGAGAATGTGTGGCCATTTTGCTTGGAAAAAAACTTGGCAAATCATTGACTAATTGCTTCAGCTCTAGACATAATAATAAGTTTTGTATGAAGCCTGATCAATATTCGTATTAATGTAATGACCTGCTGCTTACAAATTCCAATGAGTAGAAAAATAAAATAGGCTGTTCCGATCTCCTGACAACAGACTCCAGTATTATTAGTTTTGACTGAATAATGTGACCATCTCTTTGGTCAGGAAAGAGTGAACCAGCAAACAGATGAAATTGTAAAATCCAGACTATGTGGTGGTGAATACACTGCTGTCAGCTAGATCCCCACTGTGCTATTAGACACACCAATGCACTCAAATAAAGGAATAAACACACAGTGACAGCAGGGGCACACAGTTATTGTTAGTTCTACACAGACGCTGTGTCGAAATACACAAAATAGTGGATGCTAGCTACCTTTGCACAAACTGTTAACATACTGAACCTTGTTTCACGGCACTCTCACATATTAACAAGCCAACAGTGGTTTTTTATGTACTTATGCTGATGTGTTAATCAATTGTGGAATCAATAATGCATCACCTGCGAGTGTTCAGCAGTTGAAACAACAGTCGGCCTCTAGCCTCTGACATCCCGTCTCCTCTTTGATGTCTTTATTCCTTGTTGTTCATTATCTGAGAGGAGGAGAGTACCTGGCTGAGCCTTCTTCTCTCTGCATGCTCGGGCATGCACATATTAATATTTGATGGCTTTCACTTTATACCACAGCAGCCAGATGTCCAGACAGCGTGCACTCAGGACCAGAACACGTCCACTGTACTTTCTCTGAGGTTTATACAGTTGCGTTGTACTAGCTGACCTGGTTAAGAATCCACATGATGCTTGATGTTAGAAAGTGCGCTTGGAGAGGTTTGTCACCCGCATCTTCATGTGATTGTTTGTGAGGTAAAAGAATAACAGATGATCTTGTTTGTCTTGCCTGAAGCTACAATAGTAGTTGCATTTGTTTTTCTACACATAAATCTTTTTTACACACTTAAAGAGGGGCACTGTTTTGATAGACCATCTGCTTATTTATTTTTAACTCTCTAACGTCTCATCTCTCTCCTTGTTTTTACAGGAAGAATGCAAGCAGATCATGGCACGTCAGAAATCTAACAGCCAGTCGGACTCGCACGATGATGAGGTTTCTCCCCCACCGCCCAACCCTGTCGTCAAGGCCCGGCGCCGCAGGGGAGGGGTCAGTGCCGAGGTCTATACCGAAGAGGACGCTGTCAGCTACGTGCGCAAGGTCAGCCTCGGAAGATGGATGCGCGCACGACGTAACACATCTATGCAAAGACACATAATGGAAGGCTGCACATAGCCGCATGCAAATGCCTGTATATACAAACTCATCAACATGTTTGCACACAGATACATGTGGCAGATGCATACATATACAATAACACAGATGATTGCAAAGCTGTTTATTGCTTATTTGTTTGCGCAATTAAAACATGAATACGTGCCTATGTGCCGGAAATCAAGGGGGTTTATCCAAGGCCCTACCCAGTATGAGAAATCAAACACACGGAGCTGTCGTTCTGTTAACACCCACTTAAGAGCATGAATGTAAACACATTCATCGCAACATGACAGTGGGAAGGGAAATAAGCTGTGTAAATTCATGACAGCAATTGTCGAACAGACTTGGACCCTTCAGTGAATTCATTTACAGCAAAAGACACAGATCATGAGTCAGCTGCTGAACTGATGTCCAGCACAGATGCTGAGATCCGACTCTGTGATATTGGACTCCCACTCAGGTTTTTGCAGATAGCTGACATCTTTTATCAAATTTAAAGATGCTGAAAGGAGCAACTGTTTTTATTCATGCTGGTTTAATTTAGTGTGCTCTAACAGAGCTAAACCAAATACATTAGATTGACCCCCACATTTCAATGGACCTTCAGTATATTTACATGCACACAAAAAACAAGGTTACTCAAAAATAAGGTTAAGCAAGGAATAATGTTTGGAAACTTTTTTAGACCTCTAAGAGGGTACTTTGTTTCAAGCCTTTAATTCAGTTATTTTGAATATGAGGTTGCATCGCTATATGTACCTATAAATGTATGATCTTTCTGCCCCGCAATACTTTCCCTATCTGTATTCTATTTTGGATTTGTCAATTTCTTTACATATTCGAGAAGGAGCGGGAAGAAGAAAAAAACTTATTTAATCCCAGTCCCATTTATGCATGGTCAAGAAATCAGCCTTTTCCAGGAGAACTCAAACTGAAAAAATATGTTTTTCTAATCCCCTACCCTGATGGAAAATGGGTTTCTTGTGTACATGCTTTAGACGAGAAAATCAGGTTATTGCAGAAAGCTGTGCATATAACACTGCTTGACACCAAATATGAGAATAAATTAAGATGTTTTTTAAGACAGTATGTCAAACAATATGGTTGAGAGGTAAGGGGGACAGGCGACTGTTAGAGTTATCTGTCATCATGCAAACTGTGTCCATTCCAGAATTTAATGGAGCTAAAGGAAAGGGTGCTGCTGTGCCAGAAACTATAACTCACCTTGACACACGCAGAGACATACATACCTCACACACACACCTACACACACACACACACACGCATTCTCACACACACACACACACACACACACACACACACACACCTTAGACATCATTACTATGCTTGTTCAGTTGTAATTAGCTTGTCACGCCATTGATTGCTGGGTAATGACATAACTGCATGAACCCCCGTCACCACACTGTAATCACATGGCCACTGGAGCATACAGTTTGTGTGTGTGTCAGGTGTGTGTCACACACCCACATGCATTTGTGTTTATGGCTTTGAGGTCTCTACCAGACACTGCAGTTATGTGTCATGGCAACAAGCCTGCCCCCATCTCCAGCTTCATTTTCTTCACTGTCCCTCACTATCTCCCAGACTGATACACACACATCCATGTTTACTTATGTCACTTTTGGGGACATTAAATAGACTAAATTTATTTCATTCATTTCTTGAACACTCTAACCATAACAAATACTTGGCTAACCCTAACCTTAACCATTGACCCAAAAATCCACCTTATCCCAATTGGGGGTACAGCTTTTGTACCAGATTGGACAAGCCGTCCCCAATCAATGGGGTCTCATTTATAAACGTGCGTACGTACAAAACAGGGCTGGAATAAGAAAAAAGATAATTTGCGCCGCACAAAAAGAACCATGACTGAGGATAATAAACACAAACGGAGATTCTGTTTCTGCAAAAGAACACCTCAAATATGTTGGACAATTTAATCAGGAATCATATTAATTAACAGGCCTACTTGCATGCATTGAAATTTATTCTCATAAATAAGGTGAACAGGAGGACAAATTATATTTAAATTGATGCCGTTTTCAATGCGTCAGTCAAGCAAATATGAGAGCATAGTTTCATGTATTATCACATGTTCGTTTCCTTATCGTGTGTGGATGTGATGCGCTGCTTGTAAAAACACATTATGGAAAAGTAACACTATTTTATTGTCATCTCTAGTCTTGTTTAGTGAGTGGAGTGTTTGTGTAGCCTAAATACATTTTTAAAAACAGGTGGAATGCATTTGGTTTACTCTCTTTTCAAACAGGGGAATCCAAATTAGTACCTGGGTCATCCTGTCTTGCGTGTGTGTGTCCCCCTCTGGTCAGTGACGTCACTACTCAAGAGGGATGCTCCTTCCTGCAGATCGGTTATAAAGGGGTGGAGCTCTGATTGCCCCTTTCCTCCAGTGCACAAGCGTTGCATGAAAGTGCGTTTTTTACCCACCAAACAACATGCTTCAGCTTCACCAAAAGGAACGTCAGTGTCACACTGAGTTAAATCTCGTTTTGTAGCTTCTCTGTCAGAATTTGCCTCCTTTTCTTCATGCAGTCAGTATGTATTAATATTAATGAGGGGCGCTTCACTGACCATTTATAGGCAACTATGGGCGTTTGAAGGGTCAGACATGGCGCTCTTTCACATACGCCACATTTTCAAGTGATTTATAAAGGTTACAAGTGTGCGTACGCACGGTTTTGTAAGTCTGAATAGCAGCCATTTTTGGCTTTTGGGCGCACGTACACTTTTAGTGAGGTTTCTACGCACAGTTTTATAAATGAGACCCCTCTATAGTCTGAAATGTGTCCCCGAAAGTAGCATAATTCAGAGCCACACGCACACACACACACACGCACACACATCTTCCTACATCATCCATTCCATTAATGACTCTGCTGTGAAAACCAGCAGCTGTTTAACAGAACACAATCAATTAGCCAACCCTGCTCGTCTGATTAAAAAGAGCTTTGCTGTAAAGTGCTGTGAGTCTCAACAAATTGTAAGGCCTGTCGCTCAGGCCTTGAGATCACATTAACAGAACGAATTGCAGGGCTGGCATCAGATTGATGGGAACTAGTGTGGACACCCTCTTGACGAGGTGGGAAACAAAATGTGCGTTGATTCAGATATTCCCACCAACTTTAAGGGGTTCTTGTGGCATTAAATGAGGATCTTTGGGATGTCCGAGCATTAGCGTCACAGCTAAAATCCTACTGCATGTGATACAATAAATGTTGAAAATAAAAATAGGTATTACAGATGGAGGCAGATACATAGCTTGTCACTAACTTCACTTTTTACTTTTCTTACTTTACTATCGAACAAGTAATTTACCAACAGGCTTCTTCTCATAAGTGCTTGTGTGGCGTAGCTGTTAAATCATTCAGTCCTTTTCCCATGTGGCTTTGACCCAACTTTTTTTTCCCGCAATCGGCATGAACAGAATATCTTAACATTATCCTGACAGGTTACTGTAGAAAGGACAGATCAGTCATAATTTTGAGTGATTCAAAAGCTGGTAACAAGCAGAGTGACCTGACATTCAATGATCCCCTGGGTGACAGCGCTGAAGCGATGGAGGTTGATTAAGTCACTGGCCTAAAGTCTGAGTTTGAGAATTATTTCATTCTCACTGAGCCCTTCTGGGTGGCTGTGTCCTCTCTTCCTTTAACTTAGTTTCCAGGCAAAAACAGGCTCTTTCTCTTTTCCGTCTTCCGGCTGGACTACTACTACAGATAGATGAAATTTTGGTACCTCTTATTTTACATGTGATGTGGTTGTGTGTGTATTTCTGTGCATGTTGTGCACAGTGCTGTGTGGTCGTCTTCATGTGGAGACATCTGTTGCTTTAAAATAATTACAGCCTACCCCCTCCTCTCCCCTACCACCAGAGACAAAACACATACACAGAGTTATTCTGCATTAAGAAGAGTTGAGATTGGTCGTCTTAATCTTTTCACGTTCTCTCTTTCTCTTTTGGTCTTTTCCACCTAAAAATAGATGCCTCTTTATAAATATGGACTTCAGTGGCTTTGTTGTGGCTACAGACTATGCCATTCCATTTCCATTTACAGAGAGAGAGAGAGAGAGAGAGAGAGAGAGAGAAAGGGAGTCTGGGACATGAAAATGCATGTTTTATGAATGAGTTCAGGCCTCTTGTGAATCTTTAAGGGCTGTGCGACTTTTAAGTGTAATCCCTGAACAGATTGGCTTTTCCAAAAATACATAGACACACGTGTGTGTGGGATATTCCTTTCAGAGTTTGCCAATACGCTGCTCTTTAATTACTCAATTTAGTCTGCTTTTGAAGTCAGGCCTGTTATGTGTTTGTGCTGGTTTGTTTCATGTGTCCACCTGCAAAGTGTTGCAGTCTACTTTGCTGTAATAGATATTACTGCTTTGTCTGCACAGGTGATACCAAAGGACTACAAGACCATGACCGCCTTGGCCAAGGCCATCTCTAAGAATGTGCTGTTTGCTCATCTGGACGACAATGAGAGAAGGTACAAAATGTTTGTGACCTCGCTGACTTCTTTAATAGGTTTGCACAACATCCAGTGTGATGCCAGCCATCCAAATGTGTGCGTGGACTATGAGTGCATGTTTGTAAGCTGATAACGTCATGAACAGGCCATTGTTCCAGTAGAGTGTATTGCTCTCGTGGCCACTGTGTGCCAGTGTTGCCTGCTTTGGGAGCATCTCAAGTCTGCGGAGATGCCGACAGACCGTGAAGGAGGGATGAACATATACAGATGTGGAAGAAGAGGAGGGGTATGCAGCGAAGGGTGGGTAAGGGGTCAACTCGATGTGTCTGTGTGTGTTGTATTGCATTGTGTTGTTGGTTGTTATGGTAACATGTGTATGTCAGTATCATGTTGTGTATTCAGATATGGGCGGTGGTGCTCAGATACATTGCTCAGAAATCACAGATTCTCCATAGTCATCTAACAGAGAGTTGCGAGCCAATTTCCCTTTATCCCTCCCTTTTTTCTTACCATCTGCTCCTATTCGTTGTTCTTTCACATCCCTCCTCTCTTCAGCCATCCTCTCTCCATCCTTCCATCTGTCCCAGATCTCCAGTGATAGCTGGGTCTGGCTCTGACAGAGGAGGGGGGTGTTGTGGGAAAGGCTCTCAGGTGGCTGGCGGTCCTGCCCGCCAGCCGGAATAGTGTTTCATTGGCGGGGAGAATCCATTATGCCCCATGGAGAGGAAAACACCGGCGCTTTCCTGTTGGCTAAAGTCTCCACGGACCAAACCCAAAACACACTATTTCCAGTCTTTCGTCAGCTGACAATTTACCGTGCTCCCTTGGCACAGGCATGCAGACCTCTGATTGCACGTCAGTGCCTCTGAAGCAGCCCCGAGCAGAGTGCAACATGTGATAGTTCAAGACAGTCTGAAAAACCATGTCCTTGGGTGGCTGATGTGGCAGATTAGAGTTACACCAAAAAAAATATGGCAGTAGACCATAAACCATCAGGTTTTAATGTACTCTTGGCAGGCCGAGCTATGTAACGGCATCATCGTCAGAGCTTGAAATGCGTGATGTAGAATTTAGTCGACAGGCTGTCATGTTTGCTGTCTCGCTACACACAGCTAGCATCGACCATTAATGCTGTGCACACAGGAACTCGTTGTTGTGGGATTCACGGGTGAACATGCAGCTAGCAGCAATGTAGGCTCTTAGCTAGTGAAAACCTTGTGTGATTTGCTAGATGTACGGGGACATGGCAGTTAGTTGGCTATGTCTTCTTCTAATGCGCTATTTCTCTCTCTCTCTGTCACTCTTAAGAGTCTCCCTCACTCTCCTCTGTTCCTCCTCACTCTTCACTTCCAGCTGATGATGCTGGATGGCTGGTTGGTCGACTGGCTGGCGGGTGGCTTGGTCGCATTGCGGTTGTGTTGCGGTTGTTGTGCCTGGAGCCCCTACTGACAGAAGTCTATTGATGTGTGGCCTATGTGTTCCTCCAGCATTAACGAAAAACAACACACAGCAACCAGCAGACCTCTTCACATGGCTTTGTTACTGTAGAGTACACTACATGCTCTCATTGGTAAGGTTCGGCACAAAACTTTTGCCTACTCATCCTTAATGTTGCACAATATCAGTAATCTAGTAGTGTTTATCACTATTACTAAGTGCACCAAAACAGAAAATGAAGCCATACTCATTCACAGTAATCATTTTTGGTTGTTGATGCCTTCTGTCGTTGGCATGGAAGTCACAGTATGAAGTACATGGGTTTCTTTAGATGTGCCAGAACTGTCAAGGACTGACGCACATTAGCAGATGGAGACTGCACTCCACAGTCCTCTCTCTCAGTCTCTCACTCCCTCACTGTTTCTCACCCTTCTGTCGTTTTGCAAACAGCTGGCCATTTGGGTTATCAGATGTTCTTGGCCATGTGGTCTGATTGGGTGAGAAGGTAGTGACAGTTGACCATTGCTCCTGGTGTGGGCCTGTGCTCGACATCAGGGGAATGGGTCAGTGCATGCACCATTGGATGACAGGTGGTTACGATCAAAAACTAGTTTTACATGCAAAAACGAACTTCTCTTGAATGTTGGCATTGGCAAATATAATAAATGGCTTGAAACATTCACAAAATGGCTGTATGAGGACAGTGTGTGTGAGACAGAACAAGAAAAATACAGAGGGCTGATAGCCGTGTATGTGTCAAGGAAACATCTTCTGTGATTAGTCACTCAGCAGTTATGTAAGCTGAACGCCACACAATTTGTTCCCCCATTAGCACTATATTATGCTATCATCTCCTTCAGTAATGAGAAAACAATGAAGCCCTCTTTGTTTCTCTACTCTCTTTAGTGCTCTCTTTCATCTCTCATCACTTTGTCTTTGTAGCCCTCTTTTTTCCTTGTTGTCTTATTCTCTCTCAACCTGTCTCTAGTTCATAATCTATCTCATCTTAAGTTACTTATCTGCCTTTCTAGGAATCCAGGGAGATGGTACTGGCTCAGTAAGCAGTATGTTTTTTTACTGAGCTTAATAACAAACCCCCATTGATGAGGCTGCGTTTTCTTCTACTTTAATTGTCAAATTTACTTTTTTGTTTTAATAGTTTTTGCTTCTGCAGCAGCGGTATGTTGTGCTTGTATGTTGTTGGGTTCGAATAATTTCCTGGTTTATTCTGGAGTTCTGGAGAATGGACCTATCACATGCATCCTTGTTGCTGGATTGACACATATCTGTCAAAATGTCTGATGTGCGTAAATTAGACAATCAGCCACCTGTTGTATGTGATTAGATTTGATTCTTTCCAATAATTGTATATATACAGTATAAAGAGGAAGTCTTTCAGCAGTGAAGCTGCTCTATCAGTCTTCTCACTGTTGAGATGACTGTGTGTGTGTGTGCGTGTGTGTGTGTGTGTGTGTGTGAGAGAGCGTGCGTGTGTGTGCATGCGTGTGCGTGCATGTGTAATTACAGGAATAGGCCAGGCAGGAGAAACAATATCCTGGAGGGCATCTTAGGACAAGCAGAATATTATTTAAACTAAAACACAGCGAGTCTGGTCTGCGCTATGATCATATCCTACTTTGTAAATGTTTGTTTCCGTAGCTTCCATTGTCAGGAACGTAAAGACGTCAGGATTTATGTGTGTGTTTGGAGTTCTGGAGAGAGAATGAAAACAGAGAATATAGAGGGGCATTCAGTGAAAGAGGCAAGAAAGAAAGGCTTATGTTTTTCCCTACAAACCAAACATTCAGATTACCTGTTGTGCTGTTCTACCTGAGCTCAGGTAAAGCTGCGAGGCAGAAGGAAAGAGGAAGGGACAAATAAAAAAGGAAGATATGGCACTGCCTCTCTTTCTGCAACTTACATCCCTACTGCTTGCTTTCCTTCATCCCTCTTACCTGTCAGCTTCCTCTGAGGTGATTAGGTAATAAAGCAAATGCATTTTTTGTAAATATCCATTGACCCAAAATTTGGAATCCTTCCTATAAACTATATTTCAAGTAGTTTTGATGGAGATTTAATGGGCCAAAGTTGTGGAGAGGTTTAGGAGAACAAATGCATAGAACCGCTGTACTGGTGCAAGAGAGGAGCAAACAGACCTCACTTTTTACACACACACACACACACACACACACACACACACACACACACACACGTGCATAAAATACCACCATCACTACAAAGGATGACAGGGATTACATTATCATGAGAAACACACACAAGGACATTCTCAAGTATGCGTGTCAGACTGTTTTCCCAGTGAGGCTGCTCCAGCTGGGAGCATGGAGTCTTTGATTAACACACCATTCCATATGTCAAACTTTATGGCCTCAAAGTTTCTGAGCTCCACCAGCCGTGTGTGTGTGTGTGTGTGTGTATGTAGTGCATCTTTCTTCAGCTGCCTGGAAGTGAAACCTCAACACATCCAGATTTCAACTAAACTCTGTTTTTGTTATTAAAACAAGCTGGAAAGCTGCAGAAGTTATTGGAATAAAGAGATTAATGCGCATACCTTTCTTGTACTTAATCTATATTATTCAGATTTATCCTTCAAGAGACACGTATGTATAGCTCTCATGCATTGCAGTGTGAATATAGTGCAAAGTTAAGAATATTTTGTTTTGCTGAGCAAAAACATCTTGCTTTGTTAGGAATACAGACTGTGAGAGAATGAACATGTACTGTACGCTCAGGAGACAGTATCTCTGTCTGTTTATCTCTTTGACCTTGGCTGGTCTCTAAACTCACATGTGAACGTCTGCCATGGTATGGCTCCCAGCGGGCCACTGGGTGGACACTTCCATTTGCCGCCCATTAGCTGCCATAATGACCTCATTATGATATGCCCACACAAACAGACACACATGCACACAAGATAAGATGGGAACAGGTGTTTGATGTGCAGATTGTGCTGAGCCTGCTTTGCTAACAGCCAAATCAGCCTGCAACCACCTGTCTCAATACTGTAACCATACAGTAGTTGTTATCATATCGACTGAAACTTTTATCTCAACTTCCCATGTGGATTACTCTGTTTTGGTTTCAGCACTTAGGTGATAGTTTTCAGATTAAAGGTTTTGATAAGGAAATCCCAGCATTGATAATCAGGTCGTGCTATTTTTCACCAATTTGGATATCTGGCCAAATTATCAAGTTTACAGGCTTGTGTGCGTATATGTACACACGCACACGTTTGTCCAGGTGCACCCTCAGATGAGATTTGCCAGCCTATCTCCCCACCACTTCCCCGTGTTAAATGCCCACTGAGAATCAGTCTTTTAATATGGTCAACAAAAGTGCTATCGCCTGTTCAAACACACATTATTTCTGTTTCTACAGTAATAGTGTTTCTTATCTAACTTCCTACTGAAGTGATATGAAATGAGACTTGTGATAGCAGCAGACTGTGCACGTGTTAATGTTGGCCTGTTTGTCAGTTTTTTTTCACACCTGGATAAATGACCTTGATCTCCTACTTAGTTAATGTGGGCGTGCAACGAAGCAGCGAAGGCAAGAAGGGACAA